TGCAAACATCGTTCACGATAGATATGTGTACAGATACGCGGAAGATTTATGAGGAAAGTGTTCTTTTAAATCGAAAATTTTATACGCACGTCCGTGGAAACGGGCGATTCTTATCGACGATATTATGCATAAAGTGATAAAGCGTTTTTAAATTTTGTGAAAAAGAAGATTGAAAGGAAGAGACGTCGTGTCCATCCATATTTCAAACATATTATTTCAAACATTAAACATGTCTATTTAATACTTTCGAAAAGAGTATAAGATAAAATAAATAAAATTTGCCGTTCAAACATCTTCAAACATCTTCAAACTTGCCTCTAATTTTCGAATCTACCTATCCGATAATATTTTAGAAAGAGTATGAAAAAATAAATAAATAAATTTACAGTTCAAACATCTTCAAACGTCTTCAAACGTTTTCAAATATTTCCTCCCCCTTCTCGGACGAGATCAAGAGGGAGGGCAAATGCGATCAAATAACGTGTAATTACCACGTGGTACGAATACGCTCTCGAGAGTCGAATCGCGTGCGCTTGAAAGCGGCGGGCAAGCGGCTTGTTCTCGCGCTTGTTAAGATTCATAAAGCGGAGCATGCGTTACACGCGACCCAACGTCCCTCATTAGGCCCCTAATTAAGCGCGATTATCCTCTCCCTCCCTCCTCCTCCCCCTCGTAATTAGCCAAATGAAAAAACAAAACAAAAAGATAAAAAAAGAAAGAAAAAAACGGCATTACGCCGTGCGTGAAAATTTGTACAATGCAATTACAAAACTCGTGACACGCGAGTTTTGTTGTATGGAAATACTGTTAATTGTTATCGGTCGGACGGAAAAAAAAATTTATCGCGCGCGAAAAGACACAAGAGAGTGATTGTGTTGTTCGTCAAAAACTTGCGAAACGTCGTTTTGATTTACCAGTCACGCCCGAGGGTTCGTTAATTCCTAATTATTTCGTCGGCACGGGAAGACTACGCCGAAGCATTTGAGAAGGATCGTTAGGAGTTTCACGACCGAGCCTTCGGCGTTGAAAGTCCCCAGTGTTTAATGAATTAACGAACGGAGCCTTGGGGTTTATTACTTTTTGGCGAGTGCACGATGACAACGTGATCTCGGTGACTAATGGCTATCGAGTTAACGTCGTTTTAGAGGCACTGTTTCGACAGGATAATTACGGTATTAACGGTTAGATTGTGATACATTAAACGTCCGCCCCGGAAAACTATTTTACACATATACATACAGTTTTTGACAATTTTCCAATTTCAAATTTCGAATTCAATATTAATTCGTGTCGTAATTCATTATCTGGGAATTAAAAGTTATTTTGACAATATAATGGGATTTTAGAGACAATTTCAGCATTTTAATATATCCTTTTGATTTCGATTCATATTCCTTTATAATTATAAGAAAGAAGAAGAAGAAGAAGAAAAAGGAAACAATGCACACCTTGAATATCAATTTTTATTCCAAGATCCTGTGATATCTCTAATCCGGTAATCAGTTTTCTCAATCCGCTTACATATCTATTATTTTCCTCTTTGATGAATCAGATAAATAAATATAACCTGATGATTAACATTCGACATTGTATCGTGTGCAAACGTTACGCAAAACGTACGTTAATTATCATTAATCTTTCCCCCCTCCTGCCTAATCCTTCTTCTTCATTCTCCTTTTCGAATCGAGGATAGAGTCGAGATAAAACTCATCGCGAAAAGATTACTCGATCACTCGAAATTAATCCCTCGCCGCCTCAAAATTCGTCCACTTGACGAATTGTTGTAATAACGAATAAACTGATTTAAATGTTCTCCTCACTTATCACTCATAAATAACGAGTAAGAAGGTTTAATTAACGAGGTCGGGCTAAAGGCGCAACATGCAACCAACTATAGCGGTGTTTAAAGGGTCACTAAACGCTGCTTGAACTTGTATCGCTCGACGCTAATTGCATTCCGAACATAACCTTAATGATGCTATCGTACTTCCTCGCTTATATATATCCTTTTTGCAACTCTTTCTCTCGAGAAGGAGGAAGATCTTGCAGAATTTTTATTCCGTGAAATTGAAATTTCGTCTCCTTTCCTCTTTGAAATGTTCTAACCTAACCTCAATCAGATATATTTGAAATTCGAATATTTATATTCGTTGAAAATTTGTAATTTCACAGGAGTTTTGAGACAGTGATAATAAAATAAAATCTATGATCCTACGATATTTAACCTAATAATATTTCCTAACCTAACCTCAATCTGATATATTTGAAATTCGAATATTTATATTCGTTGAAAATTTACAATTTCACAGGAGTTTTGAGATAGTGATAATAAAATAAAATCTAGAATCCTACGATATTTATAATTAGTAAGCATAATTACTGATATTAATTTATCTTTTTGTGACAGAATTTATTAATATTTACCGATTGAATCTAACCTCGATTAAAAACTCATTCGTATCAAAAAAAGTTTGTACTCTCGAGAACCAATTGGATCAGAAAATTTAATTCAAAATTATTCGTATGAAGAAGGTGCAAGTTTAACAAAACCAAATTTAATCACTCCCTATAAAGAGCGAAAGCCTGTTTCCTAACCTAAACACCTTAGTCCCAAGATCCATTATACATCCGAACTTTATCGGAAATTTATTCGCGAAGAAAGTACAAATTTTCCCTATTAACGAACCTTACAGAAGAGGAGGCGAGGATACAAGGATGCAAGAAGAGCGAAAGCCTGTTTTCGCGACGCGAAACAAGATGGCGTCGAGCCGCATCCGTTCCTCCATTCTCCCAGCTTAATTCACCCTTGTCTCCCCTTGCTTTCTTCCCTCCCTCCTCTTTTTTTTTTGGAATACGCCCATGGAATACGTAACGCCTGTGATATATGCACGGATAACGCATCTGGATCGTTCAAACGCACGAGTCGAACAACGAAAAGTCCACCACCCCTGGTCGACTATTAGCATATCAAACCTCTCGTTACACACTGGACCCTACTTTCGAGGAGACGATAATAAAGGAAGGAATCGATGGAAACTCGGTTAAAAGCGAGTTTTTAGGGCTGGTTGATTGGATAGTTTGGGAATAATGGGATGTTGTGGAACACCGATTTGCGAAACTGGTCTTCTTGAAATGGAGCGGCGGTGTCGGAACGGTTTCGATGGTGTTTGCAAGGTGAGGATTGATTTAAGTAAGGGGAGGTTAGGTGGTGAGATAGGATCGAAGATGGTGGAAACGAGGTTTGAAGATTTATGGACACCTTGTTAGGATACTTGGCGTCTCTGGTTGGAGCTTCTAGGTTATTACCTCAAGGCGAGATTTTGGTATTGCAGTTTCGATTCTTCGGGTGATAAAATCTTGGATTATTGGTCGTTTAACTTGAAATCTCATTTTGAGGATGTTCTACAGAGTTGTTGGCTATTTCGTGAAATTTACTACTTTCTTTGGAATTTTTACTTTTACGCTAGAATATTGTATGATTGATGTTTACTTAATAGTATATACCGTTGTTAAATAATGGATAATAAAATAGATATATTGTGAGGAATAAATAGAAATTTTGTTTTAAAAAAATTAATTTACATCCAAATTTATTAACGAACGATAAAATTTTTATTATATAAGCTTTTTGATTTCTCTTTTCTTTTCTTTTTTTTTCTTTTTTTTTTTTTTTTTTTGCCGAATGAAAAATTTGTCAAAAAGTAAAAAATTGTAAAAACGTCGAATCTATCAAGTGAATAACAGTGTTATTCAAAATCACGTTTTTGGAACACGTTTAAAAAGATTTGAACTCGTCGAAAGAATCAATTGAAGAAATCTTGTAATAAGAGGAAAGTTCCAACTTTCTTTCTTTCTTACTTTGTTGCTTTTTATAAAACTTGAAATTGTTACAAATAAAAATATCCATTTCTCTGCTGCAAAAAAATTCTCAATTGCAAATTAATATTAAGCAAATTCGGAATGCATGAATTGGACAAGCTGTGTGAAGTTTTGTTTACAGATAATTGAACATCTATTCTCGTTAAACAAGGTAATTTGATGCCAGATTCGCACCTTGTGTTGTAATTATCGTTCTAATTATCGAGTAATTATCCACGAAGCATGGCAACCAATCCGATTTTTGCAAATCGTTTTGACGGAAATAATTGTTCACAGACGTCGAGATTAATCATCAGGCCATCATCGTCTCGTGTACTATTTCCACGCTGTTAACTTACTAATCTTTGATCAAATTTAATTGTACGACATTCGATCTGATCAAGACTGCACGCCATGAAATTACATCGAATTTTATTTTATTTTATTTTTATTTTTATTTTTATTTTTTTTTTTCCTTTTGTCGAATCTGGGTACTCGAATAATTGTTAAAATGTTTGTCGAGGATGATGAAAATAAATTATAATTGTAATTACGATAATAAATTTTTTCTGTATCTGATTATATGCTTCTTTTAATCTTTCTATCTATATTTATACTGTATTATAAATTTTACACGTGGATGAAAATTATTTAAATAATTGTCAGTAAAATTTCTGTATTATTTTATCTTGGATTATATACAGAAAAATTTGAATAAAACTTTATGAAACAATTTATTAAAATTATTAATTTAATAATAAAAGAAAGAATATTACTATTTTGACTCTTCTTTCGTTCATTATACTTTTATTCATGCAAATAATAATTAATCCTTTAAAAAATTTTTTATAAAAATTTAAAAGATATTAATAGAAATAAATATAACTGATTAAATTTGCAAATTATCCAACAAGTATAATTAAATGATTTTTAAAAGAGATCATAAAATATCAAGAACGAAATCCAAATAATATTCAGATGACAGGTTATTTCAATTCCTCACAAATATTTCCAGCACGAATATCCCCTTAAAAATTACATTAATTTTAAGATTTGACGAATTAACGAAAGATTGTAACAGGATTGGAACTCGAGTAAGTTGGAAGGGGTTGATCCTATATCGAATAGATGGAGGATGTTACCTGCGTTTCCGTCAACGAGAGCGCCTGCGCCAGCTGCTTCCTCTCCGCGCCGACGACGTAGTGATTTTTCTCGAACGCGTGCTCCAGCTTCAGCAACTGACTGGGGCTGAAGGCCGTCCTTATTCTCTTCGGCTTCCTGAATGGCTGGAGGAGAAAGCCTGGTATGTCGGGACCTGGAACGCACAGAGGCAAGAAACACACATGAATTACTCAATGTCACTCCCCGACTACGAGATGAAATTATTCCTGTGATTTATGCCACCACGCGCGAACGAAATTGTCGAGTGGGATCGCACTCGTTTTAAATTTAAAGTGCTCATTTAGTTGATATTGATATCAATTTAATATCGCCAATAACCGTGAATTTATTTTTCCACCATTGAAACGTTTATATTTATACATTGAAATTTGTATTGTATATAGCTTTTTAGATATTCCAATCTTTTCTCTACGATTTTCGTGATTGTTGGGAGAGATAAAAACAACGAATAAAATTCCATTTATCACCAACAAACTGAAATAAAATATTTCGATTCAAAATTCCACGATATTTAAGAAACTCTGAAAAATTCATATTCACGAAATTCAATATAAAAAATATTCTATCAACAGCGCCATGTTCTAAATGTTCACACCAAGTGTCAACAACACGCATTCGATAAAAGAAAGAAAAGAAAAAAGGAAAAAACCACTCAGAAACCAGGGACGAAAAATTTACCAGGCAACAACTCGACAGCGCCATCTCGAAAACCCCATAACTCATTAGCGTTAGCGATTAATTTTTAAAGGAACGTCATCGCCGCGATGTTAAGCAACACGCAAGCAACGATTTGCTCTGATGGGGAGAGGGCAACGCGGGGGATAAAAGGATAGTACGGAGAGAAAAGTAAGAGAAAGAAAGGAAGGAAGAAAGGGGGGAAAAAAGAGAAGGGAAAGAAAGTAAAGAGAAACGAAACGAACACGAACTGCACGAGCCGCTGGCTACCTAGAAGTCCGCTCCGGGTAATTGAGTATTCCACCTCGAAAGAGTCATGTCGATCGACCGATACCCACGTCTGCCGGAAGTCGGCCGGGATACTTTTGCCCGGAAACCTCGGGACGATAAATCGCTCGATTCTCTCTCTTTCTCTCTCTCGGGCTAGCGTTTATCCCTTCCGACCTCGATCGAATTCGATTTTATTCTTTTCCCTTCTTTTTCCTCCCCTCCTCCCCCCCCCCGAGCTCGGCCTCGAATCGGATTACGCAGCTGTGATTAATATTGTCGAAGATTATAATTTCGAGATTTAACTTTTAATTGGAATTTTTCTTTTTTTCTTTTAGCATTGCATACACGTGATTGGTGAGTAATTATTGAATTAAATGGAGAGTTTGGAGAGTTTGAAGATCGTGTGGATGGAGATTTTAATCGGGATTTTATGAGAAGAAGAATTTGAGGAGAGATTGGGGTAATTTAATAAATGTGATTTAAATTAGATATTTACGTGGTGGTATGATTGTAATTTGGACTTTTTTTTTTTTGTTTTGAACTTTTTGCACTGTGATTGAACCAAGGAATTTGGAGTTTGGATTATAATTATAATCTCGAAATTTGATTGAGATTTTCTTGGATTTTCTATATAACAAATTGGATCGATAAAATGAAAATTTGAAGTTAATTCGCAGTTTCAATGTTTAATTTTCCCAAACTTTTGATGAAGGGATCAAAATTAATCGAGACTATTATATAAATACCAACTATTATAAAAAGATAATTAATCCCCCTTTTATTAAACATAATTTCATTACATTTAAACAGATTAAAAAAAAAATTCCCATAGTATCTAAAATTTAATTTCGAAATAATTTTAAATTTTGTTCCATAAATACCTATAATCCGTACAACTCGTTCACGCCTTGGACGAACCAAAAAAAAAAAAAGGGAAAAAAAAAGAAAAGAAAAGAAAAAAGTCTGCTATAATTTTCAACGAGGCGCACACGATCGATCATCCTCGTATCGACTGACAATCATCCATTGGATCGTGGTCAGAGCATTGTTTACAGCCGGCCAAGGCAACGCGGGATCCATCAAGGATGCGCGTTTAAAAGCGGAGATCGCGGAGGAACGGTCGGCCGGGCACGTGGAAAACGCGTCTTATTTAAGCAAGCTTGTGCATACGTGATGCGGCCATTAAGCCGCCGAGCCATCCGAGCGACCTTCTCGCTCGAGAGGCTCGCGAACGTGCGTGCGACTTAAAGACCCAGTTAACATTTCATGCATTCGCGTGGCGATGCGACTCCGCGATCGATCGATAGCCCGTGAACTGAATCTGCTTCGGCTTTTTATATCCGGGGAACGCGATCGTGCACGCGTCACCGATTAACCGATGAATTCCTTCTCCTCTCTTCCTCCTTTTCTCTTTCTTCTCTTTGAAGGAGAGAAAGAAGAGAAGAGATTCGGACGAGATTTGCAAATGGATGGAATTAAGGATGGAATTGTTTGAGGTTTCTCTGTTTTTGTTTATTATTTAGTTTTTGTTTTTGTTTTTGTTTTTTTTTCTTTTTCGAAAGGAGAAAGTTGAAGCTTGGATGAAATTTGCAAATGAATGGAATTGTTTTCTTTAAATTTGTTTACTCTTGGTTTTTCTTTTTCAAATGAGAAAATTGAGATTTGGAATTGCTTCAAATTTCTTTGAATTTGTTTATTCTTAGTTTTTTTTCAAAAGTTAAAGTTTGAATGAAATTTGCAAATGGATGGAATTGCTTCAGATTTCTTTAAATTTGTTTACTCTTGGTTTTCTTTTTCAAATGAGAAAATTGAGATTTGGAATTGCTTCAAATTTCTTTGAATTTGTTTATTTTTAGTTTTTTTTTCAAAAGTTAAAGTTTGAATGAAATTTGCAAATGGATGGAATTGCTTCAGGTTTCTTTAAATTTGTTTGTACTCTTGGTTTTCTTTTTCAAATGAGAAAATTGAGATTTGGAATTGCTTCAAATTTCTTTGAATTTGTTTATTCTTAGTTTTTTTTCAAAAGTTAAAGTTTGAATGAAATTTGCAAATGGATGGAATTGCTTCAGGTTTCTTTAAATTTGTTTACTCTTGGTTTTCTTTTTCAAATGAGAAAATTGAGATTTGGATGGAATTGCTTCAGGTTTCTTTGAATTTGTTTATTCTTAGTTCTTTTTTTTCAAATCAGAAAGTTGAGATTTGAATGAAATTTACAAATGGATGGAATTGTTTCATTTTCTTTAAATTTGTTTACTCTTGGTTTTCTTTTTCAAATGAGAAAATTGAGATTTAGATGGAATTGCTTTAAATTTCTTTAAGTTTGTTTATTCTTAGTTTTTTTCAAAAGAAGAAAATTAAAATTTGCAAAGAGATGGAATTGTTTAGATTTCTTTAAATTTATTCTTAGTTTTTTTCCTTTACAAAAACAGAAAGTTGAAGTTTGGACGAAATTTGCAAATGGATGGAATTGCTTCAGGTTTCTTTAAATTTGTTCATGAAATTTGTAAATTTCTTTAAAACTATTGACTAGTTCTTTGAAACTACCAACTTTGTTTATTCTTATTTTTTTTCAAAAGTTAAAGTTTGAATGAAATTTACAAATGGATGGAATTGCTTCAGGTTTCTTTAAATTTGTTCATGAAATTTGTAAATTTCTTTAAAACTATTGACTAGTTCTTTGAAACTACCAACTTTATTTATTCTTATTTTTTTTCAAAAGTTAAAGTTTGAATGAAATTTACAAATGGATAGAATTGCTTCAGGTTTCTTTAAATTTGTTTACTCTTAGTTTCTTTTTTTCTTCAAATAAGAAAGTTAAAATTTGGATGAAATTTGCGAATGAATGGAATTGCTTTAAATTTCTCTAAATTTGTTTACTCTTAATTTTTCTTTTTTCAAAATGGATGGTGAAAGTTGACTTAGATATATTTCTTTAAACTATTATTTATTATTATTATTTTTAACTATTTGAATAACGTATAAAGAATGACTTTCAAGATCACACACAAGATCAAACTAAAACTAAAAAAATATTATCGAATATTTCATATCAATCTATTTATTGATAATAAATTAATCTATAATATTCTATATTGAAAGTTTATACGTATTTCATGTTTGAATACGACTTTCATTTACAAGAATATTTCTTCATCTCTTGATTACAACATATCGCAACAAAATTGACGGAATAATTTCAAACTTCCATACTTATTCCTTTTCCTTTCTTCTCTTTTTTTTTTCTTTATATATATATATATGTCCCTATTTTATACAACGATAAATTTCCTGAAAACAACGGACAAAAATGAATCGTAAACTACTTGCAATCTGTAAAATCTGGCACGAAACGCGAAACGGTGCGTTCTATGTGTCATTTTTAAAATTTCAAGAATCAATAGAGCAACGATGGAAAAAACGTAGCCACATTATACTTAAAACCGCTATCACTCGTTAATTATTCCAAACGTGTAAAAGGCGACACAAATATGCACAAACAACAAAGCCTCTTCGCATTAAATCGAATCGATTAACTCGAAATCAGGATAATATAATCTAACAACAATTATTATACATCTGTCGGATCGTTATCGCGTGAAAAGCTGCAGACACGAACGAGTGGAAATGTTAAATAAAGTTTAGAGAGTTTTCCAGAAAAAACTATGATGTCGATAGTATGATGGACATAATGGATCCATTCGATGGATTAATTGGCTGATATAACAGAATCACTATTTTTTTCTTTTTTTATCTTGGAAGAATCTCAATAATGAATTTCTTTTAATTAATAATGTATAATGGAAAAATATAATTAAATTGGATACAAATTTTATCCAATAATACGAATTATTGAAACAACTTGTTCGATTGTACAGAGTTGGCTCTACTACTGTTATTATAACTTCTTGATATTGGACGATGTTATAAGAAAATTGTGCTCTAACCACCTACAAAGCCGATTTTTATGATACTTTTATAACGTAATTGGATAGGATTGTTAAAAGTGCTTTTTATCGTGGGCTTAGAGAATTACAAAGTGGAAAGTTCCCGGTGCAGATGTTCGTTTCAACCGTGGAAGTGTTCCTTCCTTTATAGTCTAGAGGAGATAAAAATTGCTTTATAAACTGGAGAAGAAGAGTTCTTTCATTTCGAAACTGTTTCCTTCTTAACTCCTTAAAATTCCATTTC